TTATATGGAGCATTTTCATTCCGATTGGGCTTCTAATCCGATTATATTCGGAATATTTGGCTCCATGTAAACGTAGCTACTGACTGCCCGCTGGGGTTTCATGTTAACATGTAAACATGGAAGTGTTTTAAAATGTAATTTCATACCGCTTCAAATGCTTTTTGACATTAAATAATTGCAATTTAATAAGGTGCAGGATCTATTATTTCTTTTCTCTTTACTAACATTATATCCATATATCCATTTTAATTCTCCTTTCTTTTATTTAGAGTCTGTAGTTTAAAACAAAACTCTCTCTCAGTAAAATAGGTGATCTGCGGGGACACTGCAGTACTGTGCTGTGCTGTTGCAGAAGGTGTTGAGGAAAAACTGATTTGCTTTTTAAATTTGTTTTACTTGAGAGCAGCAGCACTGCTGATGAAAATACCGACAAAATGGAAAGATAGAACAAACAGGAATGACGCCAGCAAAACAGAATGGGATTGTGAGGGGATTGTGAAAACAGGTGACAAAAATGGAAAAGGAAAAAAGTATGAAAGTACAGTTTGTGTAACAGAGAAATTGGAGTGATGTGATGTGGAAAAGCTTCAAAGGATATGATGGAAAGCGGAGACAACATCTGTTATTTTGCAGGATGTGTGTGCAGACTGACAAAATGACAGAATAACTGTTACTTTGATCCAAAGGTTAAAAAAGTTATTTGCCATTCTTTCTTTTTTTTTTTTTTTTTTTTTAACTTTATTTTTATCTTTAAAGGCAAACTTTCAAACATACACGCAAATATTGTACAAAACAAAACAAGACAAGAACAAGAACAAGGGGGGCAAACACTACTCAGTTACATACAGGTGCCATTTAGTCCATCTTACAGCATATAGCTCAGCTTTAATTCGTAGTCTGTAAGTCATTTGTTCCATTGATCGTATTTCCTCTACAATGGTCAGCCAGTCACTCAGTTCAGGTGGATCAGTTCTTAGCCAAGTTCTTGTGATGGCTTTCTTAGCTGCAAGAGATAGGATCTTGAACAGGTATATGTCCTCTTTACCCATTACATCTTCTAATATCAGTCCAAGATAAATAAACCGGGGATCTTTGGGTAAATTATATCCAAAAACTTTACCCATGACTCTCAGGACCTCATCCCAAAATGTCTGTATTTTCGTACATGACCAAAATATATGAGAGTGGTTGGCATTCAGTTGCCCACATTGTCTCCAACAATGCTGTTGTTGACCTAATTGTTTATTTTTGATTTTTGGTGTAATAAATAGACGTGTCAAATTTTTCCAACCGAACTCCCTCCATGTTTTAGAACTTGTTGATGTATGTTGGGTCTTGAGCATGGTCTGCCAATCACTCTCAGATAATTCAATGCCGAGTTCCTTTTCCCATTTCTCTTTTATATACATTGTGTTTTTTCCCTGTTGCTTCAACAAACCTTTGTATAGTTTTGAGACAATTCTTAAGGGGGTTTGCTTGAACGCGCCTGTTAATATTTCGATCACATCATTCCCCTCCACAGAAATTTCCCTCTTAACTTCTGTCTCATAAAAGTGTCTTAATTGGAAATATCTATATAGATCTTCATTTTCTAATCCAAACTCATTTTTCAGCGATGTAAATGATTTGAAATGTTGCTTATCTATAAGTGTACATGTGGCTGTTATTCCTTTGTCTCTCCACTTTTCAAAGGTCTTATCTAACATTCCTGGTCTGAACCTAGAGGTGCAAGAGGGCCAAATCAACAGTTTACAATCTCCTGTTAATTTATATTTTTTCACCACCTCATACCATATTTCTAATGTTCCTCTCACGACCAAGTTTTCTCCCTTAAGGTCTCTGTATTCTTTCCCACTTAACCTTGACTGTGGAGGGGCTTGGCCTTGGCTCATCTCAATGTCCTTCCATCGGGCTTGATAATTCGGAGAGCACCAATACACAACATATCTTAACTGTGCTGCATAATAATACCCTCTTAAGTCTGGCAGTGCCAATCCTCCATTTTCTTTGTCTAGCTGAAGGGTCTTGAGTCTTATCCTCGGTCTGGCTCCAGCCCAAATGAATCTGGATATTAGCTTATCCCATGCTGAGAATTGTGTGTCTGGTATTCGAACTGGGAGCGACAGAAAAAGATACAACAACCTAGGCAGGAGGTTCATCTTGACCACCTCAATTCTTGAACTGAAGTCCATTATTAGTGTTGACCACTTTGCTACATCTCTTTGAATTTTATTGTTTATTAACTTGTAGTTTGTCTCATAAGTTCTGTCAAGTTCCTGAGTTATTATCACTCCTAGGTATTTAATTGACCTAGCATTCCAATTTAAGTTATATTTCTTCCTGAATTTTTTATTTGGCTTATAGTTAAAAGTTAAAACCTGAGTTTTAGACATATTTAGTTTGTAGCCTGACATTGATCCATATTCTTCTGTTATTTTTACTAGTTTGGTAAATGTTGAATTTGGGTTTTGAAGGTAGGTGATTATATCATCAGCGAATAACCCTATTTTATGCTCATCTCTTGCTATCATGATTCCTGTCAACTCATCTTCCTGTCTAATTGCTTGGGCGAGTGGCTCTATGAAGATTGCGAAAAGGGCGGGGCTAGCACAACAACCTTGTCGTGTCCCTCTGTGCAGCTTAAAGGTGTCTGTCAGGTGTCCATTAATTTTGACTCTAGCTGATGGGTCAGTATACAATGCCTTAATGCATTTAATGAATTTATCATTAAATCCCAATTTCTCTAATACTTTATATAAAAAATCCCAGCTGACCCTGTCAAACGCTTTTTCGGCGTCTAAGCTGATCAGGGCAGCACATGTATGATGTTTGTTAACGTGATCTATAATATGGAGGGTGCGCCTGATATTGTCCTGTGTTTGGCGTCCCTTAACAAAGCCTGTTTGATCTTCATGTATCAGGTCAGGCAGAAAACATTCCAGTCTTTTAGTAATTATGGATGTGAACAATTTGTAATCGACATTCAAAATCGATATTGGGCGGTATGACTCACAGTATTCCTTGTTTTTCCCCTCTTTGGGAATGACGGTTATCACAGCATCCTTCCAGGACGGTGGTGCTATAGCTTTCTCAAGAGTCCAATTGAATGATTCCAGTAATATCGGAGCTAGGACTTCTTTGAATTTTTTGTACCATTCATTTGGATATCCGTCGCTCCCAGGACTCTTATTAGACGCCAGTCTACCTATGGCTTTATCCAATTCGTCTTTAGAGATCGGGGCGGTCAGATATCCATTTTGTTCTGAGCCTATTGAGGGGAGATCAAGTGAAGACAGGAATTGTTTTATTTTCTCTTCGTCAGCCTTCTCAGGCTGTGAATATAAAGTTTCATAGTAGTTTTTAAACATTCTGTGAATTTCTTCTGGGTCGTATTTTAGTGTATTTGATAAAGGGTCCCTTATCTTATGGACTGAGTTTGTTATTTGTTGTGTCCGAAGACGCCTCGCCAGTATTCTGGTGGCCTTTGGGCCTGATTCATAGAAGGTTTGCTTCATGAATCTCATTTTATTTTCTGTTTCATCTTTAATTAAGTTTTCTATCTGTTTCCTTATAGCTTTAATCTGGTCTCCTATTGTATCTTTCTTTTCATTTTTAGGAAGTTGTTTTTCTAGTTTTTCTAATTCCTTTTCTAGTTGATCATATTTTGATCTCTGCATTTTCCTTAGATAGGCCGTTCTTGATATGAGCTTCCCTCTCATAACTGCTTTGACCGTGTCCCAAACAATAGTCGGGTCGACATGGTCATCCTTATTATCATCTATACATTCTCCTATTTCTTTTTGGATTTCTTCCACTGTTGATTTATTGTTTAAAAGTCCTACATTCAATCTCCATAGCGTTTTTCTTGGTTTACTGTTTAGGTGTATATCGAGGTAAACAATACTATGATCGGATATATCTGCTGTTCCAATTTTGCACTCATTTATCTTATGTCTATCTATAGTATTTATCAGAAAAAGTCCAGCCGAGAGTGTACTTTGTGTGTAGCTGAGTAATGGGTATATTCCCTTTCTCTTGCATGGATATTTCTCCATACATCAATCAAGCCTGTCTCTCTTATCAGAGTATTTAGGTATTTTGATTTGGGGGATCCCTGTCTGCTCGTGCTTGTTGTGTCAAGCTGATAGTTCAAAATAGTGTTCCAATCCCCCGAACAAACAAGTACCCCCTCACTCTCACGTACAATTAGGTCAAATAAGTTTTTAAAGAACGATATATTACACTCTGGAGGAGCGTAGACATTCACAAATGTGACCAAAACATTATCCATCTTGCCTTTGACTAATATATATCTACCTTCATCATCCCTTTTTGTTTTAATCGGCTCAAAATGTAATGAATTAGATATCATTATCACGACCCCTCTCTTTCTGCTATTTTTACATGAACTATAATATGTATTAGAGTATCCAAAATTGCTTAGTTTCTTGTGTTCTGAATTGGTCATATGTGTCTCTTGTAAAAATATTACTTGGGACTTATCTTTCCTCATTTTTGCCAGCACCCTGCTCCTCTTGACCGGATTACTCAAGCCGTTAACATTCAGTGAAGCTATTTTCAATTTATGTGGCATTATCACTCAAATATAAGAAGAAATGAATGGCTTTGTAATAGTGTTGTCCCCCAGACAACCCAGAAAAACAAAAAAGAAATAAAGACAGAACAATGTCGACTGAACATAGTAGAAAAACAGACCTCCAAACTGGGAGGAGGTGACTCCTCACCGAGACCCCGTTGGTGGGTCGAGGGAAAATCCCATCCCTAAGATAGGGCCCTATACATAGGGTGGCTTGGCCATCTAAAGGAGAAAACCCTACCATCCTAAAGTCCAACGTCAATCATTGAATTTAAGGTCGTCACTCCCAGACGTTTATTTAACAATAGCCTATAGCCTTGAGAAAGAAGCCTTATATTTGTCCAGTTCAGCTCTTATATTTCGGTTTTAAAGTGGCAGCAGTTTTACCAGTCTGTGATGGTTTCTACTTCTTTATTTTACCTCCCTTGCGCTGGGGTTCGTCTCTCTGAGCAGTGTTATCACTCTGGAAACTCTGAAGTTTATACCGCGCTCTCCGGGTCACGTCGTCCTCTGCCCCGAGGGATCCCGTTACTCTCTGCCACGACCCCAGCAGCTCTCCCAGGCGCGCTCCCCAGTCGGTCTCCCCGTTGGTCGGCGTCGCCTCCTCCACGGTGATCCCGCGTCTCCTCAGCTCCTCTCTCGCCTCCTCCGCGCTGCCGTATAGCCGGGCTCCCGTCTCCCAGTGGATGCGCATGTTGACATAAGGTGTTTGGAAACGCACTCCTTTCACTTTCAGTGCCTTTTTAATCCCGTTATATTCTCTGCGTTTCTTCACCACCTCTGCAGTGTAATCGTGATCAAAATAGAGGGGCTTGTTATTCAGCTGGATCTTTTCCGTTCTGTTTTTCCCCCAGGCTTCCTTTAACACCCATTCTTTGGTCGTAAACTCCTGGAAATTGACGATGAATGCCCTCGGGGGTTTGTCTGGAGCTGGCCTCTGAGCCCCGGTTCGGTGTGCGCGCTGGATCTTTAGCTCCATGTCGGCCGGGATCGGTAGTTTGCTCCGGAGTAGCGCCTCGACAAACTCCTGTGCCGAGTTTCCCCCTCTTCTCCTTCTGCCACCCCGAAGATGCGGAGGTTATTGCGTCTCGATCGTGATTCTAAATCGTTTAGTTTTTGCTGCAGGACTTTTTGCTGTTTCAGGCAGGAGGTCAAGGCCTCAGTTGATTCAGCCGCCCATCTCTCCACCGTCTCCACCCGCGACTCTGCCTCCTCTACTCGGTCCGATAGGTTACGGACTTCTGCCCCCAGCATATCCAGTTTACCGTTGATTTCTTGTCCAAGATGTGTGATTTCTTGTCGCAGAGTGTTGTTGTCGCCTTTTAGATCAGTTTTTAGATCGTTGATTGCCTTAATTATGTCCGCAGGCGCCATGTTGTCCTGGTCCACTTTGCCGCTGCTGTCTCTGGCTGTCGTCGTGTTTTTCTGTTTTGGAGGCTCTTTTTCGTCGTTTTTTTGGTTTCGGCGTGTCCTTCCCCAATCCATCTAAGTTTTTTATCAAACAATATTGAATTTTAAATTACTCTTGGGTATAAATTGCGGTTTGTCTGGGAGAGCGATCTCGCGTGCGTGTGACTACTCCATGAGCCAACCCGGAAGCCCCATTCTTTCTTTTTGACTTTTAAATTCAAGTTAGTATTTCAAAGTTGTTGAAGTTCTTTTTTTTCTGAAAAAGCTAATTTTAGTTTAGTTTCTGCTTATACATATATGCCGCCTCATCAGTGTTGCCAACTCCTCAGTAAGAAAAGTCACTATTGGCTGTCCCAGAAGTCACTAGATGACATCCTCACATAATTTGCTTTATTGTCAATTTGCATGTAATAGTGATTTATCTCATTTCAAAAAGATGCTTCTTTAATGAATTCCTGCCTACCCCACCTTTAAGTTGGCAACACTGTGCCTCATTACATTAAACCTGAAGCTTTAAATAACAGAAAGAAATAAAACAGGATGGCGGCAGAAAAGCTTTACAAATGTGAGTAATTGCTCTTTTTTATGCAATTCTTTGCATGGTACGTATCTACCTTTGACCTTAAAAACACACACATTTCAATGATTTGCAGTTGATTTTCTCCTGAATTTGCTGTACTGATCCCTAGCCCTCCGGTAGTAAACTGCCAAGACTTTCCCATCATAACAGGAAGCACCCACATGGCTGCTGCACATTATGTAAAGCTGCTCATTTAAAAACCAAAATAGTACCGTCATGAAACATTTACACCCACATCTGCATTTCATACATTTCTCTGTAAAGTATTAGTAAGAAGTTGTGTTTCATGGATTGTATGGTGCCTTGTACTCTAATCACTGCAGTACTTCTTCTCTGAGGCCTGTTTAAGTCAAATATTTGGATAGTAAAAAAATTTGACCACACCCAGTGATTGTTGCGCTCACTTTGATAGGTGTTGTTCACATATAAGGTCACAAAATTTCAGACACATCTCAATCTTGATTTCCAATTGTCTTTTATTCATCAGGGTAGGATGCAATAGTTTCACGAGACACACCGTTTTATGTTCAGAGTGATAAAATTACATAAAGTTTTTGATATATTTTAAGTTTTGGACACCCCAAATGCTGCAAGGACAAACAGGCCTGCATGAGTTTACCCTTAAAGTGGAAAAAAAAAAAAAAATGATACTATGCACATTAACAATAAAGTAAGGCCAAAGTAGAAAGGACAGTTTCACCACAGGGGGAATTTTAATCATAGGAGTTTGGAGTGCAGATGGTTTCCTGGGAGTTTCTTACTTTCCAAGGTAACAATTAAACACAGCAGTTTGGCACAACTGAAAAGACACAAACTAACACAGGGAAATCAAATCACACACATAAAAAAGACAACAGTGAAGGCTTATGTTTTATCGTACAGTGTGGTGGTCTGTATCCCAGGTCTTAATGTCCCTAAAGTCTGCAAGACAAGTACTCATAATCTTGTAGATGCGCAAGTGGAGCAGAGAGCAGCCCTTCCAGTCGGTCTTTGTTGACCATGTCCACTTTCTTCCCCCCTCACTGGTTGTGTATCCACACCAGTGTCCCCAACATCTGGACATGTTCTGTTGTACTGATGGAACAAAGCTGTGGTTGACCTCCAGAGCCTCGAACAGCAACCTACATTTGCTAATATGATGGTCTCAGGGAATTATATGTCTTACCTTGGTGAGGATACAAAGTCTTTCTGTAGATCCTGTCTTTAAGACTCTGCTTCTTGTTCAGGGTCCTCACTTCTGTGACACTTTCTTTGAGGGCTTTATCAATCTCCCCAAGGGCAGAGGTGAGACAGAGCAGTTTGGGTTTTTCTACTTTGTGGCCTACAGGTCAATTTTTTGGCAACTTGATAGTTTTCAGAGTGTCCCTCATTGGTCCAGCATGGTTGGTGTGTCAGTTAAGTGTACAGACATATTTAGACAATTTGCCTTTTGAAGATAAATTTTATCCCCCCAGGCCTTTCATGTTGAACAGGGTGCATTAGTGGTGTAGGAGACAGCCCTGCCAATAGATCACACTGGCCATGTCCACTTTTGTACCTGGACATGGTGGATCCACGCCAATGTCCCCAACATCCTCCACAGGCTCATGGATGCCTCCTGCTGTCAGGGCAAATGTCATGGCGATAACGACTGAAGGGACAAAGGTTTGGTTGACCTTTAAAGCCTTTAGAGACAAAATTTCATGAGTCTCTACACTGGAAACATTCAGCTGTCTTAGACTTGACCTAACCATCCAAAATAAGCTCACCAGAAAGATGAAAGGATCCAGCCGGATCTCAACATGTTTGACAAGAGCACTTTCCCCAATACTGTAGGGGATACTGTGAATGTAATAGACTGAGAGACAGACATCTTGCCAACATATGTAGACAGAAATGAGAAAGCCAAGAATCAAGCTTGTGGGTTTAGTTTTTCTCTCTTAGTCAAAATCACTCAATCAGGGAAACCTCAGACTCACAAAGCCCATCTGTTATTTGATTTTTCTTCTCACCTCTACATCTTTCTGTCTTGTGTAAAAAGTATGCTGCCAATCTACATCTGCCCCATTTGTATTCATGCTAAGAACTGCTACTGTTTGTTCATACTTTTCTTTGCCTGTCTTGACTTCTCTTAAAATTCCCAGCCACCCTCTTCCTCAATGTAGAGCATAAGTAAGAGGACTCAATCATCTAGACTGCCTGTCTGTGTCTCCATTAACACACACTTCTGTTATTTCTTTTATTAGACATACACACATAAACTGAAACAAAAATGAGTCAAAAATTTGGTTACCCTGCCAGTAACAGAAGATGTTATACCTTTAAAAAGAACAATACTAAGATTTTAGAGAAGAAATGGACACCTTTTAACATGTTTTACGGAGGGAACCCTGAACTCAGCTGGTTGGGGTTGGGGGTGGGTCAACGAGCCTATAAGGAAGCATGACTTGAATTATTTGCTGGTTTTATTAAAAAATGGCACCATAAAGTGTCATTTAAGCACAATACAAACAGACGGAGAAAGCATAAAAAGAGAGTGTAAAAATAAACACATAAAGAAAAAGATTCTGCTGTGATAACCTTGTGAGAAACAAAACCAAACTGTGAAGATGAAAGAGGGAGAAATGTAGTGCTCGAAGCGCCAATGAATTGCCAGAGGAGAATAAAAAGCAAGTATGACGACAGTAGCAAGCTCATGAAAATGAGTCATGAAAGACAGCAAGATGTATCTAGGGTCCTGTTAGGAGCAGGAAAACAGTAAGGGTGCTGTGAAAGTGTAAGTAAGGAGTGTGAAGAAGGTGTGAAGAGCATTGGAGGCCAACAAGAAGAATGACTGAGGAGGAGAGATAACATAACAGGAGAAAGAGAGAGGGTTAGGGAAAGAGAGATAAAGTAAAAAGAGGCTGGCAGGGATTTGATGATGAGGTTGGTTATTTCTACCCTTATACCTTAGCTCTGCAGTCCTATCTTAGCAGTACCATTCCCCGGTCTGAGATAGAGACAGGCTGGGATCTCCTTGGTGTATTGATTCTCAGACCCATTCATTTGGGAGAATCAGAAATGATGAGACCTGCCTGGAGCCAAGGTTTATTTACTAATTTATCTGGTGCTCCTCCGGCTCCAGACCCATCTGTCTGAGAGTATGAGGCTACCTGCTGAGGCCCAACAGCTCCCAACGCAGAGGGATGACAGCTAATTTCAGATCCTCTCTGTGTACAGGTATATGTGTGTGTGTGTGTCCTTTTCAGTCCCTGTTATATTTTCAGTCAACACAGTAAGCATTTTGCAACAAAATATCAGTATGTTTGAAATTGAATGAATTTTTCTATACCAGAAACACTTTTGTGGGTCTTTTTAGACTGTATTTACTACAGTTTACTATACTGTTTCAGTGCAACATTAGTGGCGATGTATAGCAGCAGAGTCAAAGGTACAAAAAGAAAACGAAATGTAGTGTTTCCAGGACATATCCAAAAGAGCAGATGCACATAGATAAGTAATGACTAATTCAAACAGCCTGGTAGTGATGAATACTTGACTCTGATTGGTTAGAAACCCCTATAATGAAGGAATATAATTCTCAAAAGAAAACACACCAGGGACGACCTGATCACACATGTCGTATCAAATCAATCTGTGGAAGAGTCAGCACATTTCAGCTGTGCCTGTTGACATAAATGTTAGCTTCCATTCACACTCTCAAATGACAAGAATGGTGGAAATAATATAACCTTTGATCTCAGGCTTGTCTTGTAAGTTGGGAAGTAACAGCAGTTACCAAGCATAGATATGAGAGCAGCCTTAGTTGCTATGGTGCCCTAACAATCTCTGAAAGGAAAATGGTGAAGTAAGATCCCGTCCTGCAATCCAGGCAACTATAGCAGAACTGCTAAGTGCTTTGTAAAGTTGCTGCCACTTTAACAACAGGCAGTACTTACTAGAATAACAATGCTGTGAAATATACCATCTTTTCTTAACATGTTTGGATATTTTAAAGCCTTTAAAAGACCGAACAAGGAGAAAAATGCCAACCAGTATTCCTACAGACACCCAGTTCGTTGTCTTCAGTGGAAAAGCACAATTTAATGTGAATCAACAAATAAAGAGACTTGTGTTTGAATCGGACTGTTCGGTTTAATGTTTAATCTGTTGTCTTAGAAGCATCATGGAATCAGAGGAACTATTTCAACTGTATGGATGAAATGTTTCCAATAAAATTTAAATCTATACATGCGTAAATGTGTTCATGTCTTTAGCTGGCAGCTGGGTAATAAGCTGGGAGACTTACAGTGAACGGGTCAATATGCAATTCACAATCTCAGTATGTATGACCCTGATGCCAAGTGGAGGAGTCTTTATTCACCTTAAGGGTATTTAAATGAACACAACCACCCATTCTCTAAACATCATTCCTTATTCAATAGGGCTTTATGCAGCAAAACTGGCTTTTCTTGTTCTCTGTCTATCTTGTTGTATTATAGACTAAAGATACTGCTCAGCATCTCTTTCCCACCAG